ATTTAAAAACAATACAATAATTAAAATTAAGAACAATTTTAACAAATATAAACTTATTAGTATTTCAGTGGAAACTGTGGGCCTGCTTTTGGCTGATGAGATAGAATTGTTGTTGTTATTGTGTGCTTTCAAGTAGTTTCATACTTAGGTTGACCCAGAGCGAGGGCCGGGTACATGACCTTGGAGGGCCGCATCCGGCCCCTGGGCCTTAATTTGAGGACCCCTGGTGTAATGGATACCCTTTTTCTCTCCCGTCCACCATCTCATCCTGACCAAGGCAACTCTTTTGGGATCCAAACATTTCCTGTCTTTCCTTCACTTTCTGTCTCCAAAAGAGAAGAGGAAGGGGAGGAAAGGGCAGGGAGGGGGCTTGTGGGGAACCCTCTCCCTCCCAGCTCGCCCACCTCAAGTTATAAAGTTTGCCCATGCTTAGGGTCACCATAAGCCAGAAAAGACTTGTAGGCATATAAGGACATCAGTTGACATACCATACATCCCTAGGTCATGCAAAACATTTAAATTCTATAGCAAGAAAAACTGAATACTGTCATTTGTGTTTATAGTGGGGCCGTGGTGTTCTCAGGGGGTTTGGATCCAGGACCTTCCATAGATACCAAACTCTGTAAATGCTCAAGTCCCCTTATATACGGTGGCATCGTACACTGCTCTCTTTTATATCAAATGGCAAAATCAAGGCTAACTTTTCGTGAGGAGTTATTGAAGAAACATTAAAAAGACTTTGAAGCCATGGATGATTGACTCCGCAGGCAAGAATCAATGGCTACAGAGGGCCGACTGTATGATGGAAACTGATTTGCTTCTTTTTGCATGCATAATCTAGCAGTGCTAGGACTGTGAAGGGTTCTAAAATTCTGTCCTAAACACTGAAGGGAACAAATAAGCATGTCTATCTGGTTATGGGCATTTCAGCAGATATTATTCATGTGCTTTAAGAGTAACCTTGCACCTGTGATGGATAGGAAAAGTTTCCTTTTCTAAAATAATGGAATCAAAAATCTGCATCAATCACAATATATTACTGCCTTTCACCTAAATGAAAACCTTCCTTCCCCCCTCAGTATTAAATGCCTGGAATTACCTGCCAATCATCTGTATCAAAGATCTTTGAATGTAGATGGATATTGCCCACTTATATCAGACCTGAAATGAATCTTCAGTAAATAACAGGTTTATCTAACTAGCAGTACCTTGGTTTATTAGTGGCTATTAATTAGGAAACTAGAAATTCTTCTTCTGATTTATGAAGTTTGTAAAGGATTGTCCATACACACCTTTTTTAAAACCGATTGTTTTTATACTGTTTTATTGCTATATTGTTATTTAAATTGTCTATTTATGTTTTTGGTTGTGGGCACCATGGGGTGCCGGTTTGCTAGCCGCCCTGAGTCCCTCTGCGGAGGTTGAGATAGGACGGGATACAAATGGCCAAAATAAATAAATAATCCTTTTGAGGGGGTTAACATTTAGCCTAATTATTGCTGTAATTCTGAACTTGGAAAGGAAGCATTTTGAAATGCACAGGCACATTTTGGATTTCTTTTCTTTCCTATTTCTTTGCAGTCTTCCTGCACTTTTGCAGCCTTGCATGTGGTTTCATTTAGTGAAAAGTATGTTGGATTTGGACTCAACAGATATGGGTTCAGCTTCCTCCTTTGTCATGCGTCCACAGTCTGCTCTGAGAGAGGCCTAGTTCTGGATCGACCAAAGGCTGGGAATTGCAGCCATGTATTCCACAGGTTGAATGAAGGGACACATTGAAAAAGATAGAAATGGTTATTCTGAGCCAAAGGAAGCTGGCGCTCAAAAGAAGCAATTAAATATTTCTGTTTGTAGCTATTCTCGCTTCTGTTCCCCCACCTCCGTGGTATTTTTATATCTCAAACTGCCCCTGGGTAATGACAGTTTCCTTTGATGCACAGTTTTCCCTGATTGCTTTGCTTGGAAGTCTTTCTTGTTCAGAGGCGGCAAGAAATATCAATAAGCAAACAGCCCTGATTCTCTCTGGCAGACTGTCATGTACTAGTTCAGAGCACGCTTGTTAGTTCTGTACATTACGTGCAAGAGGGATCACTTGTGTGTGATCTCCTTGGCAGATCGGAGGAAGAGGGGGAGCGGAGCGAGTTCTGGAAGAGGAGGGAGCGGGCTGGAAACCGGGAGGAAACAGACAGAGGCAAGCTTTCAAGGCTCAGTCTTCCGCAGAGCGTTTGTATGTTTTGATGGTGGGAATGGGCATGACTAGGAACGGCCACAGGAAGTTACACCCAAAACTGAATCATTAGTAATGGCTCATGTAAGTCACCCCCCTGTCTCCATTTAGTATTATATAATACTGTGACAGGAGCGTTTTTGGAGAATGGGCAAGGTGCATTCTTGTAAATTCTCCAGTGTCTCCAAGTGCCACATGAGAAAGATAAGTGTCTTTTAGGATAGGCCTTTAAGATCATAAACATTTCTTCAGATCAATGCAAAGGAACACATTCTCCCTCCAGTGGTGGCCATGCCCCATTGTTTAATCTTCATTTTTACTCCACTTCTAAATACACTCAAAATTATAGAGTTGGAAGAGACAACATGAACTATCTAGTCCAACCCCTTGCCATACAGAAAAAGCATAATCAACATACCCCTGACAGATGACCATGCAGTTTCTGTCTGGAAGGAGCTTCCACCACACTCGATGCAGTGAGTTCCACTGTTGTACATTCTTCTTACAGTCAGGAAATTCTTCCTAATGTTCAGGTGGAATCCCATTTCCTGTGATTTGAAACCATGGCTCAATTGAGTCCTAGTCTCCAGGGCAACAGAAAACAAGCCTGCTCCCTCTTTCTTATGACATCCTTTCAAATATTTAAACATGTCTCCTCTCAACTTTCTCTTCTGCAGTCTAAACAATAACATCCCTAGCTCTTTAAGTCGCTCCTCATAGGGTATGGTATTGAGACTTTTGATCATTTTAGTCGCCGTTCTCTGCACACGTTTCAGTTTAGGGTCAATCTCTCTCTTGAGTTGAGGTGCCTAGACTAGTTATTCCATTTGTGGTCTGACCAAAGCAGAATAGAGGGGGCACCATTACTTCCCTTTATCGAAACACTGTACTTTTGATGCAGCCCCAAATCCCATTTGCTTTTTTAGCTGCTGCATGACATTGTTGGCCCACTGCAGCTACCCTATAGATTTATATATACGGTAAATCTAGATATTTTAATTTAAAAAAAGAGGTCCAGCAGGTGGAAGTACTTGAGAGATCTGCATAAATAGCTGAAGTCTGCAATAGTTAGTTGTTGGTAGCAACGTCAATTTTTTTAGCTGCAATCTGAAACATTGTGTCTTGTGCCTTGAACCCTGAAAGGTGGATTGTACCTTGGATGTTATATTGTGGATTGTGGAGTATTCCTGGAAACTTGGTGAGACAACTTGGGTTTGGAATATGGAAACAGACTTACGGCTAACCCTTTTTTCTTATCCTCGCTTGGCTGATTGAGTATTGTGTTGACTTCGGACTGCCCCTGCACTACATTTGTGTGCTTGGCTGCTTTGTAGATACGAGATGGGCAGGACTCTGACAGTGGCCCTGCAATGGAATTAGCTCCTCAGGGAAGTTTTCCTATAGTTCCCGTCCTTCTATTCACCCCCCTTTCCTCTATATCAGAGAAGTCCCTTTTAAAATCTATTTTCCTATTGCTGTTAAATTTATTTTATTTATTTATTTTATTACTGTGCTTGTATACTGCCGTTTCTCAGCCTAAATTGGCGACTCAACGCGGTTTACAACAGTACAAACAACAACAATATTCAGATTAAAACCATAAAAAACAACATACACAATAGACAATATTGGCCCGTCGATAATAATCCAGTGCATCTCTTAACTAAAATCATAATCCAATTTCATCGTCCATATTACCAATCCATTAGTCATCAGTTCATTGTACCGAATTAGCCAAATGCCTGTTTGAACATCCAGGTCTTCAGTCTTTTCCGAAACACCATCAGCGAGGGGGCTGATCTTACCTCCATGGGAAGGGCGTTCCAAAACTTCTGGTTTAGAGTTTCATTTTTTGTAAACAAACCTAGAAACCTTGTTAAAAAGTGTTCTATTTTATGTAAGGTTTCTGTATAATGTAGCTTGCTCAGTAATTTACTATATTGAAATTGCAGCCTTCCAAAGAACAGCTCTACCACCCTGATATTGTAATTGAATAACCATGTTCCTAGAGTATCACTTCAATTATGAAGCATTCAAGCTGGTCTGAGTCCCTCTAACCGGTCTGAGTCCTTCTACGGAGGTAGAGAAGGTCAGGATATAAAAGTTTTAAATAAATCAATAACAAATAAATAAATGTACTCCATAAACCTAAGATAGGACTTGCCAGAGTTACAAAAAGGATTGAATCTGCCTGCTTTTTTAGGTGTGTGAGCGAATGTAGAATTATATGTAACATGTTTCATTTGGTACTATTAAACTGATGATGTTTACTTGCATGATTTTGGGTTACTCATTTAGTCCACCTCACTAATCAGATAGTTGGAATGATGACATAATATATTTTTCATGTTTGCTAACCTTGAGTCATTGAAATTGTCATGATCAATAATAATGAATTTTAGAGATGTATTTTTTTTCACATAACACTATATAAATGATTCCACTGTCTTGTATATTACACAGAATTTATCTCACTTTTTGGAAATGGTTAAATTAGTCTTTCATAATGATGTCAACACAAATATTGCAAGCAAACATTTTCTGATGCCTATTTTTTAAATAAAATGACCAACAACAAGGGTTTAAAAACGGATTCTAGAATGCTTTCTTCTTCCCATGTAATATGATGTGTATAGTGCCAGTATCTGCATTAGAGCAATGGACAAAAATAATGTGGATTGACTTAGTAGTGATCATTCACATCTTGCCTGAATAACATGTTTGGTGAATTTTTGGTTCCTCTGGGAAAACAACAAATATGTTCCTTTTGCAGGAGCCAGAACGTGAACCTTTATAGGATCCAAATGTCTGCTGAGTGGATGACGTGTCTACGGTAATTAAGGTAAAGGAGAAAATTAGTATCAATTAATCAGCTATGCATACATTCCTTGAGTTATATATGCACTCCTTTCAAGCAGATTTGCAAAAGCCTGCCTTCTTACAGACTTGGCCTTTTGATCCATTCTCAACCCCAGACAGTTGGATGAAGGATAAAATGAGTGTGGCACTTGCTGACTACAGTTTTTCATGGTGGTAACCATTTCACCATTTGCTGTAATCATGGGAGTTGCTGATGGTAGTTGTTTGAATTGGCCAGCTCATGGATTTTGATCCTAGATACACCTTTTTTCCAAGTCACTTCACTTTTGAGACAAGTAGTTTAAAATTAGTAAGGACAGAAGTGTTACCTCATTGCCTTCCCCGATTCCTTCACTGGAAGAGCTTTACAATCAAAATCTGTTTTCAGCAGTAGTTGTTGACTAGCTCACAAAATGGAACAGCTTATAGATTGTCTGAAGAAGCAATTGAATGAGGAAAACTGAGACACTGAGCATATCGGTTTATGTCTAAAACCTAGACTTCTGTGTTTTAGAAATTGTGACCTTTTATTGGGTGTGTGATTTGCTGATTATTGGGCAGAGAAAATGATTAGTGGCTGAAATCACATTCCAGCCACTTCTGATATCAAGGCCATTTTGAAAGGGGTGATTGGTCAGATGTTTAAATCTGAATTTCTGACTTCTAACATAGGGAGCCCCCGGTGGCGCAGTGGTTTAAAGCACTGAGCTGCTGAGCTTGTTGATCGAAAGGTCGCAGGTTCGATTCCGGGGAGCGGCGTGAGCTTCCGCTGTCAGCCCTAGCTTCTGCCAACCTAGCAGTTCGAAAACATGCAAATGTGAGTAGATCAATAGGTACCACTCTGGGGAAGGTAACGGCGCTCCATGCAGTCATGCCGGCCACATGACCTTGGAGGTGTCTATGGACAACACTGGCTCTTCGGCTTAGAAATGGAGATGAGCACCACACCCCAGAGTCAGACATGACTGGACTTAATGTCAGGGGACTACCTTTACCTTACCTTTACCTAACATATTGTAAATTGCTCATGTTAAGACTATTCTTGTTTTTTAAAAAATAGAAGAAAGCATTGTAGAAATCAGGAAATTTGCTCTGCATTTTGCTCTCCCTTCCAGACAGATATGAATTCTGTTGTGTGGGCAAGATTTCTGTTGAGTTAGTGAAATGTACACGAAGCTTTTTGCAGCATGCTTGTCCTTGGCTTTCCCTGCTCCCTCATTAGGGCGGTTCAGTCCATCTCTCACTCTTGGCTTCATCAGCTTGTAACTGCTCTCACTTGGGATCCTTCCGCTTCTCTATGCGTTGGTGGACACTGCTAAAGAGCCTTCTGATACTCTTTTGAGTGATTAAAATGCCTGTTTGTTCTTGGTGTCAGACCAAAAGGAAGAGGAATAGTCCCTAAGAACTGGGTTGAAGACTCAAGCTCTTAAATGAATGAAAAAAAAAAAGCAATTCGCTGCATGACGATGGTCCATGGAAAATTAGGAAAAGTTGTTCTTCAAACCCATTCCTTTAAATGTGATGAAAATTTAGATCAGGCAAGGGAAAGCTTTTTGGCCTTGGGGAAACATTGTGGGCCCAACCAAGACGGCCAAACTGAGAGGGAGAAAACCTGTGAGAGGGTGGGGCCAGGAGGGGGTGGGGTCTTTCTCAGGTTGTCCTCCTGGCATAAGGATGGGGCTACTCAACCCATCCTTGTGCTGGGAGGAAAATGAGACATTTGGCAACTGTCCCAATCCTCCTCCCCCAATCTTCGGGCTATCCTCTCGGCATTATGTCAGGAGGAGGGCGAGAGTGAGGACAGAGCAGGAAGGCACGCAACAGCTGAGAGCGCTTCAGAGGGCTCTCAGCTGCTGCGTGCCTTCCTCCCCTGTCCTTTCTGCGTAAGGTTTCAATGGGCCACTGTGTCCTTACTGAGAGGACAGGGAAAATGAGGAGAGCCTGAGGTAAGCGCCCAGGAGCCACATCTGGCCCCCAGATCTTAGTTTGCCCGTGCTTGGTTTAGATGAAGTTGTGGTGAATTAGAGACTCCCCTGTTTTCATTTTGAAGAATGCAACCAGAATGTCTCAGTGTGGCTTATTGTAATGTGCAAATGTAGAGTCTCTATTTAAAGTCTCTTCATCTTTTCCACTCTGAAAAGCTCCATGATCTGTAGTATATCGGGTAAAGTCTGGAAGAATTACCTTCACCTGCAGAACATGATGTTGGGTGTTTTTAAATTATATTTTTACAGTTGTTCAAGAACATTTAATTAAACTGTATGCCAGTTTGTTGGGAAGTCATTAGGTGGTTTTGTATTTATTTCTTTAAAGTATTAAAGTATTTATTCTCCACTTACCAGGATGACAATGATGATGATATGTGCTTTCAAGTCTTTTCCCACTTATGGGAACCCTAGTGGGTTTTCTTGCCAAGATTTCTTCAGAGGGGGTTTGCTTTGCTTTCCTCTGAGACTGAGAGAGTGTGGTTTCCCCAAGCTTACCTAATAGGTTTGCACCCTGGTCTCAGAGCTATAATCCAGTGCTCAAACCCCATGCCATGCTAGCAGAGTGGCTTACACATTATTAATCTGACCCTTCCTTGCACCCATGCTACAATCTAAACAAAACAGATTCCAGATAAGGTAAAGGGAATGGCAGTGAGGAAGAGGATATGGTTTATCAGATCCTGGTTGCTCTTCCCTTCCTTAGAAGCTGGAGCAATGCTCATTGGAATATGGATTACGAATTATATTGCATGGAATTATACTATGTGGAAGGACACCAGTTGCATGGATTGTTAAAAGTATTCAATTAAAGTCTGGTTGTCTGCCTTGAAATAGCTCATTACAATATTTCAAATGGACAAGGAGTGGGAAGAAGATGTTGATATCCAGCTTTATAGGTAGAATTAAATGGTTGGTTGTGTTGATGAAGAGAATGGACTGACGTACTTCATCATCTTAATACGTTCTACTCCTTACCTTCCCAGAGACACTAGTGTTGTGTTCTTTAGCAATATCTTTGAACACAAACTTTATTCCCAAGCATTTGCCTTAAAATACATATTTGAAATGAAGTGTGCGGCCTGTAAGCATTACTAGAAAATAGCAATTGTGTGTATTGATGGTATGATGAGTTTGTTTTTAGTGTTTTGTCTGGTGTATATATGTGTGGGTGCTTTGCCTATTCCTTTGAGTATCGTCAGTTTTTTCTCTCAGTAAAATTGCATTTTGTTGTGTTTGGTGTGATCTAAAATCTGATAAAGCATTTGAGACTCAGACTCCCATTTCTGATTTGTACCGACTTTCTTGGCCAAGTTCTTTGTCTCTGAGCCTCATCAGTTTGTCTTCTATGAAGTCATTATTGGAACAGAGAGCTACGATTCAGAAGAATGTTTTTCTGCTTTGAAGCTTGAGTCTAATCGTTCATTTTTTTTACCCTTGTTGTTGGGCAAGTTATTTTTGGTCTCTCCAATTAGACTTCAGGAAAACCGCTGTTTTCTGGCTGGCCATTCTCACTATGATGCCTTGTATAGGCATATCTCCCTTCCCATGATAGACATTTCCCAAGTGTATCTGTAGCATTATGCCAAGATTTCATATCTATTCACTGGTCCCAGTATTTGATGGGACCAGTGAATAGATATGATCTAATCAAACTGCCTCCATATCTTCTCATTCTCAATCCATGAAGCTAAGAATCCCAGTAGATATGTTGTCTTTTTCAAGCAAGCCACTCCAAAAATGTTTCTGGGAATGTGTTGCCCTAAACCATTCCTATTTCTTAACTGTAGCCTCTTCTTTTTAGGATTTTTTTTGTTCATTTTTCACATGCATACAATTTTCACAGTTGCTGTGAACGGTGATAGAAATTGATAACCATGCGTGATTTGGGTTGTTGTAGGTTTTTTCGGGCTATATGACCATGTTCTAGAGGCATTCTCTCCTGACGTTTCGTCTGCATCTATGGCAAGTGTGAAGATCCCTTACCTTGCCAGCCAGGGTGGCAGGGCCCAGGAAGAGACAGGCTAGGTAGTTTGCTTGTAAGGCCTGGCAGAGAGCTGCTGGAGCCATCTTAGTTAAGGGAAAAGCTCCAGTTCAGAGAGGGGGAGTGGCCTAGGCCTGAGCCAGCCCAGCAACAGCCAGGATTGGTTTGGAAAAGGGGGGCGGAGTTAGCCAGATGGAGGGAAAGAGCAAGATAATTTTGACAGTTCAGTAGAGTGGAGTTTAGTTCTGAGTGAGTTTAGAGTAGGATTGGAAGTTTTTAGGAGTCTCTGTAAAGAATAGGCAGCTTGCCTGTAGTTTGCACAGCAAAGTAGGCTGTGGCAGACTGAGTTACAGCTATTTTAGAAAAGAAAATAGCTGGTTTTTGTGTTTAAGAAATTGTAACAAAGGAAAGAACCATTCTCTCAAGTAACCATTACGCTTCTAAGAACCAAGAACACTTTTATTGTAACAGCCAAGCCTCTGAACCTGCATTCACTTTATTCTGTAACTTGTATTCAATAAACTCTTTCTTGTTATTTTTAAAATTTAAGCCTGAGTCAAGTGCCATTTTTGGTTGGAGTCCTTTTCCTTGTTGAATCAACCTCTCCTGTTTCCCCTCAAAGAAAGCCCTTGATAATACACAGTATTTGGTGGAGTAAAAAAGCCTTTTAATAATTTAAACAGCCTTTTAGCAGTCTAAATAGCTAGAGGGTTCGTGATTCTTCAGTTTATGGTGGCAGCGAAGGTTTTAAAGAAAGAGACATTCCCTCAAACGCTATAAGAGCCAAAGTGGTGTGAATTCCTTATTGAAGGAGGGACAGTGTTGGGATCTGCTTGCCCCTGTCCAGTGATATTGTTTGGCCATCAAGAAATTATATCATTATAATTTGGGGACAGTGGTGGGATTCTTTGACCCCCTGCCCAGACGGCAATTGAGGAGTCCTTATAATTGGTGTGGCAGCGGTGGGATTTGTTTGTCCACTCTGCCTTGATGAGCCTCAAAGGCCTTATAGCA